GATCCGTTTGAATGAATAAAATCTGCACCCACTACAACGAAAATGACACGGGTTAGAAAATGCTAGCTAAAACACTTAGAGAGAAAAAAAGGGCAATATCAGCTCATAATGAAAGACTTATTAAGCCATAATGAAGAGCAAAAAAATGCAGAAACAAGACCTCTGGATTTTTCTCCATTTCTGCTGTCAGGGCCCCGATTGTCCCAGGATGCAGCCTAACATCATCATCCAAAAAAAAACATACTTGCTTTCTTTAATGCATCAACACCAGCCTGTAATCGTTATCCAAATGTCTCATAATTTGCTACATTCTACTTGAGTTAAGTAAACAGCATGAATTTACATGAAGGCATTATGTTGACACAAAATTCACCATGCACTACATTGAGGAAAAACATGTCATGTAATAGGCAACACATAATGTTGGTGGCATCCTCTATCCAAATTAGATTCCGTCTAGCTATTTTCCTTTCTAAACCTTCAACTATAATTTTCTATACCCATTTTATAGGTGGAATTCTACCTGTTCATTAATATATCCTAAATCAACTAAATCTAAATTTCCATTGTCCTATCTTAAATAGAGTACTAACATCATTTATTTAATATTATTCATTTATTAAATCTTACCATCATATTGGAACTTCATCTACTTGATGCTCCAATTGGCGAGCCAATAATTTCATAAAAGATTCAATAAAATATGCTCAAATAGAAACTATGTAGATAAAAAAATCGCAGTTCCTATAAAATTGTCTTCAAGTCTCAGCAATATTCTCTTATCACATAATACTCTACAGCACATTTTCATTTTAATCACATAATCTTGTAGCTAGAATTTATATTCTCATCTATACTCTCACTCTTCTATAAAATAGATTCAAAGGTACTTAAATTTTATTGCACCTAAATATCACTTGTAAATATATTGGACAATGATGAGCACAACACTCCTACGATACATTTTCATTTTAAGCACATAGTTTTTATAATATTTGGTTTAGCTAATTTCACATCATTTAGTCTCATCCCAATCATTTGGGCGTCATCTTCAAAGATGTTCACCATTTGTCCTACTTATTGATATTAGAGTTGTTAACCTATTATACAATAAATATCTTTTTGCACAACATCCATTCAAGTTACCATTACTCTAACACTTTTTTTTAATTATCTACTGTTCACAAGCTTATCTTAAATAACTATCACCATCCATTTATTATAATCATTTCTTATTTATCCATCTTAATTTTGTTACATATTCATCTTAATAGCATTTCTATCAAGCTCAACTTATCTATCGATAATATAAATTTATTGCTTGACCTCATATAGTATAGCTAGCTAATTTGCAATTCTATAAAATTAACGTTAGATCTACATCATTATCTCTTATTCCCTATGATAAATTTCTCTTTTTGATCATCTAGCCTTATTTGTAGAAGTTATTTTCCTTTTCGACAGGCCCTTTAGTTTATATAATAGATCAATGATAATTAAATATGTCAAACCTAGATATGACCTAGTCTTCTTGTAATATTGGCCAACGATGAGCAATATTGATGCGGACATCGGCACGAAGATCTGGCGCATCTATCACAGGAGGCGTCGTAAAATCGACGGCTCTATTTAAAGTGTTATTTAAAATTTATTTGTTGACCTCCATATCACTGCTACAAGAAAACAAAAAAAAAGATTAAAATAGTATCTACTCAAATCTTTTGTCATATCCTTGTACAGTTACCAAATATGCTGCTCAAATCCTGTATTTATTGGGTCAAATCCTATTCAAAAACCTGCCAAACCAGCTGTCCATCTCCCTTATTTACTGCAAACGGCAGCCCATACCCAAAATCTGATCAAATCTTACTGCCCCAGCCATCCAAGTCTTGTCAACCAATAAAAAATAATATAAAAAAGGGGCTGGAAAGTCTATTTTATACCCAACCCCCTCATACACGTCCAGCCTCTCTTCCTCCTCTCATTGGCATGAGCTCAAAGCCTGAAGCCTTTGATCGCACATAGCAGCCAGAACACCACATCAGTGATGTGATAAAGAGTCTTCAAACCTTGCCAACCCCAAGCTTTATGGCCAACTCCATGCCAACATCCCGCTCCGGCAAACCACCTTCTGCCTCCACAGCTACAGTTCGAGCATTGCAAGCAGTTTTCACCTCACCGGACGTTGCCTACTCCAAACCCCTCCTTGCTGCTATAAAATCTTCAACCTAGCTACAAACTCCAACTTCTCCCTCTGTTTTCGTCTTATGCAAAGAGTCCATGTCCGTTTCTTCTTCCAAATCCTCACAGATCTATGCAATCTCCTTCTTCAAACCGTGAGAACTCCTACTACAACCCACGCCAAACAGCCAAGCAATGTCCTTCCCTCTCCATCTCGTGACAACTGCACCATTCCCTGTGCTTGCTGCTCTATTTCCTCGCTATTCCTATTCGAACCTTCTCAAACTTCACTTTTCTCAAACCATTCCCAACCTCTCTCAGCATCTCGCCAGCGTTGCTGGAAAACTTGTTGTACGATGCTTTGGTTTGAAGTTTGCTAAACGGGCTAGCTGTTGGGGATAAAAGCATTAAGAGATCAGGAACTTCTCACTGGTTTTGTTTACAGAGATGAGCAGACTAAGGAGGAGGCCTGATGTATTTGCCTGCACAAGTGTTCTGAGTTCATGTGGTTCTTTAATGGATCTGGCAACCATCTAACACTGGATTCTTCTGTTGATGAATTCTTATCAGGAAGGAACAAGTCCAAGGATGAGGATGAAGAGTGCTGAGAAATCTGGAAATCCTTAGAGGCTAACGTTTCCTGAACAATTTCTATCTTTGGATTCTATTGTGCTTCTCCAACTCCATATGTTCTAACTTTTGCACCATTCAAAGAAAAGAATGGAATAAACTGAAAGCCATTACTGAGTCCCAGAGATGGTTCCCAAAAAAGGAATGCAAACATTTGGGCTCTAAGATTAGAAGAGCATCTCCTAGATCTCTGTCAGCCTCAAATGGAGTAATGAAGAGAAGAGCCACCATAAAGATGCCAGATAAAATGGAGGTGGTTGCTGACGGTAGAGACTTAGTTTTAGAAAGTGGAATAGAAGATGCCCTTCTCTTGCCTCGATTCTCGAGCCGCTATCACCAAACTTCAAGGTATAATTTCAAACTCCAATCCCGTCCTCGATGTTTGCAGCGGACCGGAGAACCACCTATACGCGCTCTTGTAGCATGGTAGGAGGGAGCCCGGTGCGAAGCATACGACGAGGCGGGTAAGCCCTATACACGCTCTTGTAGCGTGGTGGGGACGGTCCTCGACCCCGACACCGACACCGCCGACGACTGCTACGCAAAGGTATGATGGTCCAAAATCCCATTCTCGACGTTTGCAGCGGACCGGAGAACCACCTATACGCGCTCTTGTAGCACGGTAGGAGGGAGCCCGGTGCGAAGCATACGACGAGGAATTAACCCTATTTCTTTCCACTAAATCAACTCTTCTCACTTTGGAAATATTTAAACCCAAACCCCTCTTACCCGCCAACTCCCCAATCATCTTTGTTAAGTTTTTCTGCTACAACTCCATCCTAAACCCCATCCGACTTTGGGTTTTCTGCTCTCCAAGTCTGCTGCCAGAAATTTTTGCACCTATTCTTGGTTTTCTGTCAATCAGAAACTTCCCCAACTGCTGTCCTAGAAGAACAGCTTGTTGTCCATCAATTCCCGCCGGCTCCTCTCACCGTACCACCATTGGAAAGGTTTCTCCTCGCTGTCCAACACTTCTCAAAGTCAAAACAGCGACTTCTTGCATGGATCGAACAAGATTCCGGCATTGTCTACAACAATCGAGGCTTCCTCAATCAACATTCTTTGACGTCAACCCAGAGATCAATAGCACTGTCGAAGAATATCTAAAGCGCATCACCTTCACCTTTGCCGAAGCCATTGAAGAACTACTTGGCACCGTTCAGTGGAGGATTGCAACTCAACCGTGATAAGGGTTTACCCATCTCCTTTTTCTTATATTTTCATTGTCTAACTTGTTCTTGTGATTTGATAGATTCATGAAGATTTTGTTCACCGAACTCTGCCGAGCTTAGTAAACGTAGGGATTGAATGCACTTTATTTGCTTCTAATCTTATTGTTAGATTAGATATTTTCGTTGAAAGCTAATATATTTTGCACGTCGTTCATTTTCTTTGTTATTTTGATGATTCAAAGCTCTTATTGTGCAACTTAGCCTAAACGGAAGTGACCACTTACATTTTATTTTGTCGTTTTATTTGCTAATAGTTCTAATCATTATTATAATAATCGATAAGTCGTGCAAATTCTTATCAAGGTATTTCACGCAGTGTAGTCCTACAGCACATTGTCATTTAATAAATTATAATAAATACACAAATCAGAATGAAAATTTACCTACTAAAAATAAGTGTGAATAATTAGTCAAAGAATATTATTTGTTTTGCAAACTCTAAATGGAATATCATACAAAACACCAAACCTGCCTGCACCCCTTCATGTTTGTTAAAAAATGAATTTCTCCGTTCAATTAACAAAATTTATTTAGTTGTTTCACAAGAGATGAAACGTTAGAGGAAATTGATTATAGCACATATGAAAACCAAAACTGATCAATAAGAACTAATAATTGGCTTCCTAGTTCTCTTATTATGTAGATCAGGATCAATATCATTGGTTTTCAATTTGAACTTTCCATGATCAAAATCGGATGCATAGGAGGAAACACATTGTCCAGTCAAAAGGAGTAAGTTAACTCTATTCCCATGCGAGGAAAGTTATAATTTACTAAATGCTATCTTTAGTGGTGCCATTTGTGAAGGGGTTCTTGAAACTAACATCAAAAGTCTTCTAATGATAAGGATTGGTATGCTTTTTTAAATTATAATTCCCATGATTTTTTTTTTTCATTTTGAATGTTTATTTGATGTCCGAATGCCAAGTATGAAGCCTTTGAGTCAATTCTTTTCAGGCCTTGGATTTTTTACTTGATACATCAAAAATTTCTAAGGAAAGAAATGGTGTTGATCATATGGAAGTGGTATTTGGGGAACAAAGAAAAGGTGATGCAAGGAATTCAGAAATCTATCGTGAAATGTGGAGCAAGGACCCTTCAAAAAACAAACAAAGTTCATTCCGGGTAATAGTTTAAGCTTTGAGTACTTAGATTATTCTTATCATGGCGCCTGGTATCACTGGTCACTTTACCCAAGTTTCTCTTATTAATTTGTGAATCTAAGTGTTCATGTTCAATTTCCTCTTATCTCCTCTTTGTGAGTTTAGAAGTTATTTATTGTTGTTGTTAGGGTTAGTGATATATTAACTTTTCAAAGTTCTACCAGTGTTCTTTCTAGACAGGTAAATCTGGAAATGATAATCAGTTTTCAAGATAAAACTGTTTTTGATTAGACTGTATTTTTCTTTTTTCCAATATCCCAAGTATGCTTGTGAGTCATCATACATTGCTATGTATTGTTGGAATTGATATGTTGATGATGAAAATATCATGTATCTCAGTTGTCATGATTCACTTGGTTGATGCCAATTGTTCCTCATATTCTAGATGAATATATAAGTTATTGTTAAGTCTCAGCCTCCCTTCCCGTATTGTTCTCTTCTCTTCCTGTATTGATCCCAGCGCCAAGAATAGCGATCCGTGGGAAAATCCCGCCTGACTCACGCCGTTTTCCTTCCTTAGTGAGACAGTTGATTTATGAAGGAATATGTGAGGGCAATAATACCTAATTTTGTAATTTAATTTTTTTTATTTGACGTGCTGTATAGATCTGTAAATAGAGATGAATTTCTGTAAAAAAACACAAGCTTTTCCCTCTCAAACTTACTGATTTCAACATGGTATCAGAGACACGATAAGCCGAGAAAACAACCTTCATTGCCGCGGAAGAACGATCGTCGATCGTCGGCCCTCCATGCATACGCAAACAAGCCGCGAGATTCTCGCGAGCGACTCACTCGGTGGGAACGAGAGACAGGTAGGCAAAGACAGCCTAACCTTGCACGGTGCCAACACCACCAGAGCTGCCAGATGCCACTGACACATTCTCTGGAGAATCCAGTCGTGGCTGCCTCACTCGTTGTTGGCATGCACGCAGGAGACTTTAGCCGCCTGGAAGTCACGCACGCGGGACATCTGGTTCCGTTTGGAAGAACCAACCACAAGAGCCGAGTACTACGTGCAAGACGAAGTCGAAGGACGAGCGAAAGCCGGGGCAGAGACTTTTGTTTGTGACTTGAGCGGGCGGAACCTTGCGGAAGAAGCCCCTTTGCGTGCCCTAGCTACTTGATCCGAGTCTTTTAAAGACTTGTTTCGGTTCGATTTACCCTGTAATTAAATCAAGAAGTTTGAGGACAAAAAATATTGGCCTTTATTGTTGTAACTAAAGATTAGGAGGAATTTTTTCGGGAAGCCTTCATTGCTACCCAGGATCGTACATATAGTCTTCATTACTATCATTTGATACCATAATGTCAGAAATTAATTTTTCCTAGAGTATTGACCAATTTGGGGATCCTATGGTGCACCAAGGATGAGGTGACCTCCAAAGCATGCAACCTTCCTATCGCTTAAATGAGAAGAACTATCTAAAGTGGTTTCAATTTGTGAAGACCTACTTAAAAGGGAAAGGGAAATTACATAACATCTTCGGAGGAGGATCAAAAGAAGGAGATCCTAATTTTTGGGTATGGGATATAGCAGACTCCATGATTATGTCATGGTTGTGGAATTCCATGACTTCAGAAATTAGCGATAGGTTTATGTTCGGTTTGCTCCTTTCTATTACAAAGGATATATGAAACGCCTTCAAACAAACTTTTTTGATCAAAGTAGGAAGCACAAAACAAGGAAGCAAGATCGTGACAGAGTATGCCACTCTTCTACAAAACCTATGGCAAGAACTTGATCACTACAGATGTATAGAGACTAGATGTCCAGAAGATGCTGCTATCCTAAAAAACTTTATTGAAAAAGATAGAGTTTATGATTTTCTTATAGGACTAAATGCAAAATTTGATCAAGAGTTCAAATCCTTGGCAAAGACGAGACACCATCATTAAATGAAACCATTTCTCTCATTCGCGTTAAAGAAAGCCGACAATAAGTAATGTTGGAATCAAAGGTTGTTAAAAGTTCAACAATGGTGATGAACAGAGAAGCACTATGTAATGAAAAAGGTAAAGACTTCTCAAAATTTGAAGATAGAGACTCACTTTGGTGCAGCTATTGTAATTAGTCAAGACATATAAAGAAGATGTGCTGGAAAATACATGGAAAGCCCCCAGTAAAGAGTGAAATCAAAGAAGTGAAAAAAGGAGCACATCACATGTCAACAATACAACATGTTAGCCTAACCCAGAAACACTGTCCAGCTTCAGAGAACTCAATAAAGAAGATATTGATAAACCAAACAACTCTTGATATCCCTTGAAACACCAAATGCATATTCCTTTCTTGCACTTTTAGATAAATTTTCTATTTTCATTGGTTTAAGTGCCTCTAGAAATCATTTAAAAGGATTATGGATCTTGACTCAGGAGCCACAGATCACATGACACTCCCCTACCCACTTCATCAACTATACTCCTTGCCCAAGTAATAAGAAAATCATCACTGGTGATAGTTCTCTTATCACAGTAGCAGGCCAATGAGACATACCCTTATCTCCCTCACTCTAAAAAATGTGCTCCACATATCTCAATTATCCACAAACCTAATATCTATACAGAAACTTACTAGTGACTATACTATTTATCCTTGCTTATTGCTTTTTTCTGGACTAGAGATCGGGGAAGAAGATTGGACTCTTTAAGGAGAGAGCTGAACTGTACTACCTGGAAGAATTAAAGACACTGCCTATGTTCATATTCACAGACAAAATAGTGGAAAATTAAATCAAAGAGCACTCAAATGCATCTTTGTTGGATATTCAACCACCCAAAAAGGTTACAAGTGTTATCACCCCCCACAAAAAAACCCTTATCTTTGTTTATGTTACCTTTGATGAATAAAATTCCTATTTTATCAAACCTCATCTTCAGGGAGAGACTGAAATTGAGGAAGATGAGGAAAGTGAGCTTGCCTCTCTTGACCTTCCTCCACCTCCTCAAACCAATCCTCCTGAAATAAAAAATAAGGAAACTGAAGACAAAGTTGTCAGTAGATTTGGGAATGTATATTTCAGGCGTACAAGTTCAAAATGTGCTCCGAAGCAGATCCAAAAATATGAACCATCTCCTGAAATTAAGGTAAATACAAATTCACCACCTCCTTTGTACCCCATAACTAACTCTATTTCCTTCAATAATTTTTCATCATCACACATAAACTTCCTGGTTATACTAGATATTTATATTTCTAATAATATTTTTGAGGTCTTATCTGATGAAAATTAAAAAAAATATCATGAATGATGAAATGCAGGCCCTAGAAAAGAACAATACGTGGGAAATTATCATCCTTCTGAAAGGAAAAAAATCAATCAGATGCAAATGTGTGTTCTCTGTAAAGTACATAGCTGATAGTACACTGAAAAAAAAAAAACAAAGCAAGATTAGTAGCGAAAGGGTATACTCAAACATATGACATTGACTACCAGGAAATCTTTACACCTGTAGCCAAGATGAACGCTGTCAGGATCCCACTCTCACTAGCAGCTAAGTGCAACTAACATTTGGAACAACTAGATGTAAAAAATGCATTCCTACATGGAGACTTGGAGGAAGAGATATTTATGGACATATCACCAAGATTTAAGGAAAAATCTAGAGGCGACAAGGTGTGCAGGTTGAGAAAAGTCTTATTTGGGCTAAAGCAATTACCTAGGGTCTGGTTTGGAAGATTGTCAAAATTCATGCTTCTTATTGGGTATCGACGGAGTCAAGGGGACCATACACTATTATTTAAACATTCAGGCTCAAGGGGAGTCACAATATTATTAGTGTGTGTGGATGATATTATCTTGACTGGGAATAAGTAAGAGGAGAAAGTTAGTTTAAGGAAAAGTCTTACCAAATAATTTGATATCAAAGAATTTAGTAGACTAAAATACTTTCTCGGAATTGAAGCAGCCCACTCCAGCAAAGGAATCTTAATTTTACAACAAAAATGCATTAAAGATCTTTTGAAGGAAATATGTAAATTGGCTTGTAAACTTCTACCAACACCAGTAGAACTAAATCTTAAACTGGGGTAAGCTAAAGAAGATCTAGTTGTAGATAAAGGGGCTTACCAAAGACTTGTAGGAAAATTGATCTACCTTTCCCTCATTAGACTAGATATAACATTTATTGTAAGTATGGTCAGCCAGTTTATGCAGAATCCAAAACAGGCTCATATGCAAGCGGTAGACAGAATACTGCACTACCTTACGGGAAAACCAGGGAAAGGGATTCTCTTTAGAAGAAACCACAGAGAACCCTAGAAGCGTACACTGATGTAGATTATGCAGGATCATCAGTAGACAAAAGATCTACCTATGGATACTGCACATTCCTAGGAGGAAACCTAGTTACATGGAGAAGTAAGAAACAAAATGTGGTGGCAAGATCTAGTGCATAAGCAGAGTATAGAGCCATGACCTTAGGAATATGTGAGTTACTATGGATCAAGATGATTCTAGAACACTTAAGGATCAACTGGGACAAACTCATGAAACTACATTGTGACAACAAATCAGCGTAGCTCACAATCCAGTCTAGCATGACAGGACCAAGCACATAGAAGTGCATAGACATTTTATATAAAAAAAAATAGACAGTGGACTTGTGTGTATCGACCATGTATCATTAAAAGATCAACTTGCAAACATCCTTACCAAAGGATTGGATAACTTTGCCTTTCTCAGAATGATTGTTAAGCTGGGAATGACAGATCTGTCTTCCCCAGCTTGAGGGGGAGTGTTAAATCTCAGCCTCTCTTCCCGTATTGATCCTAGGGCCAAGAATAGCGGTTCGTGGGAAAATTTGGCATGACTCACGCCATTTTCTTTCCATAGTGAGACAACTGATTTAGGAAGGAATATCCAAATATATGAGGGCAATAATACATTATTTTGTAATTTAATTATTTCTTTATTTGACGTGTTGTATAGATCTATAAATAGAGATGAATTTCTGTAATAAAACACAAGCTTTTCCCTCTCAAACATACTGATTTCAACAGTTATCAATTGATAAAGCTATGCTAATAACATTGTCATTCTTTTTAACTGCTGTCAAGTTCTAGTATTTGTTTAGGAGTGTTGATTGAGCATATAATAGCTTAATGCCCTTTCTTCTTTGCTGCAAACCTACCTGTCACAGTTAACAGATAAGTCATTTGTGGAAACTTATCATTCATCTGCAAAAGAACAAGATATCCTACAGTGTGTAGGATCTGGTAGTAGGTGAGTTTTCTCTTGCATAGTTTTTTTGGTTTGGATTTTGTCTTTGTTAGATTATGTTGTTTTTACAGGCAAGTCCGCTGATATCCATGCATACATAATGAAACTAGATACCAACTAGTTAGGCTTGCAATCTTTATTACACTTCCGTTACAATGTAACTTTTTTGTACCATCCTGCACTTGTGAAATAGGCACCAATTTTTAGAAGAATTACAGATCCGGGTTCTATGGCAATCATTAAATTGTATAATACAGCTCAAAGAAGTTGAATGCTCGATTTTTTTTATGCTGGTCTGGTATATGTTACTCCTTTCCTAACATATGATATTTGTATTTTGTTCATGTACATGCATATAGCTTTCTATCTGCATTCATTTACATGTGATGTAAGATGATTCTGTTGTTCAAAGTCACACTCGCCAAAACATAATGGGCTACTTGTACGAGTTAGTTTTTTTCTTGAATTTGTTTCAGAGTTTGAAAATATACTAAATATTTAACAAAGTAGATAACTTTTTCATGAAAATCTTAATGATATTTACGTTTAAAGCATAGGAACTCATGGAATTCCGATTTGCACATGTGGATTTCAGAGTTTCACGTCGGAAATTATTTTTCTTTGCGCTGTTGCTTCTGTCTACCATCATTCCCAGCTATGTCACCTTCAAAATCCTTGCTACTTTTTATTTCTACTGTTGTTTTAGGGTTTTACCGCTACTACCAATTGCTTGCCTTGCCTGTGCCTTTGCTCGTTGGATTACTATTACCTCTTATCTCTCCTTATCCCAACTACAATTCCGCCTCTTGTTAGCATACTACCCTTATATTTTATTCTAAGTTGTATTATAAACTCTAGGCCTATAACTATTTTGCATCAAATTGGCATTAGAGCATATGTTAGTGTCAACATGTCACTTAGAAGTGGTGTGAATTATCAGGGCCAACTGACATGTCACCAAAAGGAGGATACTCAGCATATTTTACAAAACCAATCAAGAGAGTTACTAATGAAAAAAGATCAACTGAACACAATAACAAATCAAATTAACCTTTCTTTTAACATAAAAACTGATCAACTACACTCACAAGAATTGGATAATGAGTTTAGCCTAAATTAAGAATTGGATATTGAGTTTAGCCTAAATTACCAAAATTCTACCCCCTTAGGAGATATCAAACTTACTAAGGAATAAATAATCAAGATAAACACCATAGGGACTTCACAAATGAAAATTCTGATAATCATCAATGACAACCTAGTTGGGGAAGTTAAGTTTCCTGTTGATATTGATGAGCAAATAATTGGAGAAGTTAAGGTTCATGCTTCTACTTTTGTTCTAAGGATAGTTTCTAAAGCTTTCTCTAATTGGGTAATGGATATAGAAACTCCCTTTAATTGACAAATGATGTTTGGAGGATGACAAGTCAAATTTATAATACTTAGATTTCTTGGTCAAGCACATATGCATTGGATAGATGAAGAACGACAAATGAAGCATTCAAGACTAAAATCTATCAAAACATAGATGAAAATAAAAAATATTATTAAAGGAAAAAAATACTTACCCATGATAATAAAGAAAATTAATAATACAACTCAGAAATACATCGATTCAATCGTGGCCGTAGATCGACGGCCACGTCTCTGATAGACTTTCCACGCTCTGATGTCCCCATCATTTTCCCGGGCTGGGAGAAAGCTCGACTCCGTCGAGTAAGTGTCTTTGGAGCTCTCGTAGATCTCCAATGCATCGGGGTCAATCTGGTACAGCTCTTCACAATCCAACCATGTATCCTATGACTCGGGCTTTCCTTTCCACCTGATCAAGTACCTACGTTGTCCACCTTCCATTGTGGAGATGATATCATCACTCAGGATCGAGTCTACCTTTTCTGCCATGGATGATTTGGGAATATTTGGTAGTGGAGGTAGGTTTGGGTTCTCACACGGTGGGGTCACACAAGACTGCTGTATGAGTGGATTTGGTGGGTTGAAATCAGAACCTTCATATGCAACTCGATCTTCTATGTTAAAGGAGGGATTTGAATTATACAGGCAGATCTACTACGTAAGCATTATCATTGATTTTCTTAATTATTTTGAATGGTGCAGCACTCTTAGCATGCAACTTCTTAACTGTTCCCTGCGGGAACCGTTCCAGACAAATCCGCACCATCATGGAGTCACCAACCTCAAAAGTTTTAAATCTTCGTTTCAGATCAGCATATAGTTTGTAATCATTATTGCTCTTTTCAATTTTTCGTGCAATTTTTTTATTAAGTTCATGCATATATGATGCAAATGATGATGCAGACTCAGAAATCCTATACCTAGAACATATGGGTATAAGGTGTAGTGGTTGTCTAGGTTTGAACCCGTACACAATCTCAAGAGGTCTTAGGCTAGTGGTTCGGTTCACAGAATTATTATAGGCAAACTCAGCAGTAGGGAGATTGTAATCCCAATCCTTAATATGCTCGCCGACCAAAGATTGTAATAGATTGCCCAAGCTCCTATTGACTAACTTGGTTTGACCATCAGTTTGGGGATGAAAGGCACTGGAAAATTGCAGTTTAGTGCCCATTTTCATCTAAAGAGTTTTCCAAAAATAGCTAGTGAATTTCACATCCCGACCCAATACGATGGTTTTGGGTAAACCATGTAATCGGACGACCTCATTGAAATAGAGCTTGACAATGTGAGAGGCGTCGTACATTTTGGAATAAGGTAGGAAATGAGCCATTTTGGAAAATCGATCTACTACAATACAAATGGCGTCATTCCAACGGATAGTTTTGGGCAGGCCTAAGATAAAATCCATGTTAACATCCTGCCAAGGGCAACTAGGGACAGGCAGAGGAGTGTACAAACCAGTGTTTTGTTTGTGTTGTTTGGCCAGTTGGCAGGTGTGACACCTACTGACCATCCGACCGACATCTCTCTTCAGGCTGGTCCAATAAAAACGATACTCCACGACTTCAATTATTTTGTCCCGATTGAAGTGCCCAGCGAGGCCCCCGGCGTGGAGTTCCCAGACAAGAAATTCCCTAAGGGAGGTGCTAGGGATGCAAAACTTTTGGGCTTTGAAAAGATAACCATCCTCCAAAAGAAAATCATCCACAAGGAGCGTGCTGCCTGTGGACAAGAGAGTAGGTCTCCTTGAAGTCGGGGCATTCCAAATAATCCCTCTTTATTTGGTCAAATCCTACGACTTCAGCTCTCAGCTCAGTGGTAGTCATCATACGACGACTGAGAGCATCAACAACTTTATTCTCAACTCCCGTATTATGTCTATGGGTATAAGTGTACTCCTGAAGGAACTCTACCCAACGACCGTGACGTGCATTCAACTTATTTTGGGAGTTGATATAACATAGAGCTTCGTGATCCGAGAAAATGATGAACTCTTATAAGAGCAAGTAGTGTCGTCAATAACGAAGAGATTGGATCACATCGTAAAACTCTTTGTCATACGTGGAATAACGCTGCTAAATATCATTTAGCTTTTCACTGAAATTGGCTACTAGGTGACCTTCCTGGGAGAGGACTCTAATTCTAACCCCCGAAGCGTTGCAGGTTACTTTGAAGACTTTGGAGAAATTAGGAAGTCTCATCACTTGGGCTTCCACCATCTTTTTCTTAATCTCTTCAAAAGCTCTGGTGGCCGCCGGGGCCAGTGAAAATCACCCTTATTTAGGCAATCATTGATAGGAGATACGATAGTGCTAAAGTTTCGAATTAATCTTTAACAGAAGGTGGTTAATCCGTGGAAGCTACGGACTTCCCGGATGTTCTGAGGGACAAGCCATTCAACAATGGCTCTCACCTTCTCGGGATCTGCAGAGACCCCTTGGGCTGATACGATGAAGTCCAAAAAGATAATGCGATCTACAAGGAAGGTACATTTCTTAGGATTGGCATAAAATTATTCATTCCTTAAGACCTCAGAAACTTGCCTTAAGTGGTCCAAAGTGCTGGCTCACCGACTGACTGTAAATAAGAATGTCGTCAAAATAGATGATGACAAACTTTCTCATAAATGGGCGCAATACTTGAGTTATGATCCTCATAAAAGTACTCTGGGCGTTACTTGTCAGAACCCAAGATCTACCTTGAGAGAATTTTGTTCGATCTTTTAAATCAATCAACTACCAGAGCTATCTATAGTCATCAATCAGTGATAAACAATCTAACAAAAATCTATAATTTAAAATATCATGTAAACATTTATTCATTCCCAAAAGTCATTTACAATACTCAGAATCTATGCATTAATCACATATATCTATCCTGTCATGAGCACAAAAGAATAGATAAAATAAAAGAAAAAAATAGAACCTGAAGAACCCTGATCAACCTCACACTCCTGCTCTCTTGCCATGACCTGAAATTATTAACCACATATAATGAGCTTAAAAAACTCAGCAGGTCACCAACCTATAACTGAAATCAAAGCACGATACGGAATTAATATGCATGTCAATCAATCAAATAATATCAGTCATTTACACATGATCATTGAGTCAATGCAGAAACAGAAATCAATGCATAAATAGTATTCAGTACAGAAACTGTAGTCAATACAGATACAGTTGAATCCACAATTATCAGTGATAGAATCAGTGAACAGTAGAAAAACCCATAAAGCTCAATGAACTAGTACATACATTAAATCTTTAAAGGAACCATCGTATCTATAACATCAGTTAATTTAATAGAGAAATCGTCGTATCTAAAAACCTCAGTCAAATCATTAAAGAAATCATCGTATCAGTAATATCAATCAAATCAATAAAAAAAATCATCTCCATCAATAATATCAATTGGTATAAAATCGTATAAAGCATCAATCAATACATCGTTAATAACTGTCAAAATCTGATTAATGAAATAAAATCATATAGGAAAATACACTTGCTATTTAGTTATTCGATATTACAATTACATGCAATCTAGTTAATCTATATCACGTGCTTAGTGCAGCACATGCATAATGTTAG